GGGATGACCCCATCCAGGGACAAAGCAGCACCTCGGGGTCTGGTCCTACAAAAGCCTGATGGACCCTCGAGGCCAGGGGAAAACCCTCATGTCCGTGCTGTGTGGCTGCTCTCCTCCACCACCCATATTCCCCCAGCAAAGACCATGCTTGTGGTCCCCACAGCACCCCAGACACCCTGGATCTTCTGCTCTTGGATGAGCCAGGAGGCAAGAACGTGGTTAAAAAGCCTCAGAAGATGGGACAGGAACATCCCGGGCTCCGCGGCGCTGTGCGATGGGCTCGGTCCTCCAGCTCAGTGACAAGAAGAGATAAGGGGGAGGATTGAGCCTTCAGTTTGTCCCCCTGGAGCTACCGCTGGATTAACTCAGCCTAACATTGTTTAAGGAGCGTTTACATGCAGAGCTTCTTCAGCCTGGCCCTCCGGGTTAGGCAATGCCTCTGGCTTATACCTTGGCTCCGAATCTGTTGACTCTGGAAAATCCCCAGGTTTTGGAGCACATCTATTTAAACAAGCAGCGCTGTGGTCACCCAGGCTCTTCCCCTTCTGCCCATGGACCATGGAGACCACATGCTCTGGTCCAGCGTGAGAAACAGCGGAGCCGATCACCAGCCAGGGCAGATCTGTGGTTCCAGTTTGGTGGCTCTAAGAGGGCACGATCCCCACAGCCTCGCTGCTACTTCATTTGTCCCACTCCCCTGGTTTCAGCTGGGGTAGAGTTTATTTAATTTAATTTAATTTTTTTTCCTAGTGGTTGCTGTGTATCAGATTTGGCACCAAAGGACCGTCAACAATGCGTATTGTTTTAGTTGTTGCCAGGTGATGTTTTTGTTTTTCAAGGACTTTTTTCAGCTTCCCGTAGAAGCTGAGAAGGAGCAGAAACAGAGCGATGGAATGGCCAGTGCAATGTTCTGTCCATAGATGTCATTCTCAGTAGACAAATGGGTTTAGCCAGAGGGGGGGACCCGTGATCACTGTTCAGGGCGGTGCCAATTCACCAACTTATTATTATTATTCCTTTTCTGTTATTGTTCTATTAAACTGTCTTTATCTCAACCCGTGATTTTTTTTCCCCTTTCCCCTCACTTTCTCCCTTTTGGGGGAAGAGGAGAACTATGGCTGCTGGCTGGGGTTAAACCACGACACCCACCACCCCCCAACACCAACGGGGAGGGACCGGAGCATCCCAGAGCCATGTCTTCAGGAAAGCAGGATGAGGGGCACAACCAAAGGCTGGCACCTCCAGCAAGAGCAGCACGTAAAAATGCTGCAAGATGGAGGAAACCTGGTCGCTCTGACCCCAATTTCATATTTATTTATCTTTTTAATCTTAGGTTGCAGCAAACAGGACCACACCACCAGGCAGAAACGTGAGGAGCTGCTGGAAGGCATGAGATGCTCCAGCCAGACAGTGCAACACCCAGAGATGCCAAGCCATGCCCCAGATCCCTGGATTTCATGTTACTGATGTATTTATGTCACCTCATGCCTGGATTTACTGGGTTTATAAAGCAGGACAGCGCTTTTAACCTTGGTCTCCAGGTGGGGAACCAAGGTGGTGTCCTTAGTTAAGGTTCCATCGAGGGTCTGCAGCAGAACAGGGATCTGAACCCACATCTTCTGAATCCATCCCAACCAGTGGGCAGCTCTCTCATGTATATGCAATTTATGTTTGACTCTCTCCTCAGGGACTCATCTCCTATCTTCCCCCTTTAATTATAAAAATTAGTAGGTTTGAGGTATATTTGAGGGGTTTTCTTTTCCTGTGTTGACAAAGCGCAATACTTGATGACTCTAACCCCAAATTCTCGGTGACACAGATACCCTGGCAATTATAAAATACTTCCCAGCTCGCTCCATAAACCCCTTTGCTGTTGCTATTAGTATGCATTAACATTTTATTGGTGTTACAGGATGAAACATCCAGTCTTGCAGCTCCAGTGGGCTTGGGGATTTCCAGCATCCTGCAATATGTATCCGTGCAGAGGAAATTAAAATGTGGATGGATCAGCAAGATACAGTCAAATCCTCTACAGTAATTTGGAGAAGACTAAACTCTGGTGCTAGTGGAGCATATTCCAAGCTATCTAATAGAGAGCTGATGATCTCTGAAACAGCCTTTTTGTAAGTTTTATTCTTGCCTACAAGGGAATTTTTTCAAAGGGGAGATGTAATACCTAAACTAATATTTTTAAAGGGATATGTGCTCTGAACGTTGGAAAAGTAAGACCCTTCGCAGAGCAGTCGCTTTCAGTGATCAGCTCGTGCCCAATAAAAGAATACGCTCCGGTATCTTACAATCGAGCTGGAATTTCTTTCTAACCACCACAGCAGGCAATTTTGGGTAGTTCGTAGCCATTATAGGATGTATCAGCTCTTGGGAACATTGGCTGCTTTGCTCTTGTAGCAACAGTACAACATCTATTTCCTTCAACAGCGTTACCCCTTCTAGCTGAAACCCAAAGCGCTGGGTCTACACAAAGGCTCTGGAAGCGCAGTGAACCTCATCAGCTGCAGACATGGAGCATCCTACAGCCACAAAACCATTCACCAGGCTGGGGTCCAGCACCACAGACCTCACCATCTCCAGAAAACCCTTTTTCCACACATAAAACCGGGAGGAATTCATGTCAAAACCAGACACTTTGGGTACCTTGACTTGCGCAGTGCAATCTGCTTGGGTTTCTCTCTCCCAGGTGTCTTAGAAACAGAAGAGCTGATAAGGAACCGCTCCTCTGCTTTCTCTCCTTCCTCCATTTACAGGCTCAGCAAATCCTAGAGCACATCCCTAATCCATTTTTGTAAGAGGAAGAGAATATGTGCTCAGGAGGACTTAAACAGGGACCTCGGTGCCCGCAGCGCCGGTCCCACAGGACCCCACTCCTGGGTTGGCACAGAGCGAGCATCAAGGAGCCCAAATTCTGATGAGGGATTTGGCTGTTATTTATTATCTGTGTTACAGTCGCAACTGGGAACACGGGGAGTGACTCGTTCCAATTTTAGCGACAACTGTCTTTACGCCCTGCGTAGCGCCGGCCGATGTAGACATTCCCAAGCCCAGGCTTTTTATAGCAAGCAGAAGCACCCGCTCCGCCCCCTCGGAAGCCTTTTCCAACCTCCAAAGCCTGCTCACAGCCTCACGCTCTCCACAACGAGCACATCTCCAAGCTGAAGGTGCCCATCACGGCTCAGCCCTCGCTAAATCCCATGTGGAGGCAGCCCTTTTTTCAATTTGGCTCATCCTAGTTTTGAAGTTTGGCACAAATCTTACAAGATCAGAGAAAGACGTCTCTGTCCCCAGGACGCTCAAGGAGCTTGTTGTGATGTCCATGAGAAGAGTGCTCATCCACCAAAGGGAAGCAACCTTAAAGGATGAAGCTCTCTCCTTCTGGCTATGAGGGCATGAAATGACCTCCAAAAGCTCTGTTAAATTCTGCCTACAAGCCAGGAGAGTCTTGTTGAAGCAGCAACGAGATCCTCATGAGCTTCTCAACCATAGACGGTTCCTACCAGCACGTTGGCAGCAGGAGAGTTCAGGTTATATTAGCAGTTATCATTAACCACCAAGTCCACCTTCTCCCACCCGTTTCTGCCCCCTTCCCTCTCTCAGGCAGTCACAAGGACACAGTGCACTGCCCAGGGCTCTTGTGTGGTTCATCTCCAGTTCCTTGGGGTACAAAGCACATCTTCGTCCTGGAAACTGCCAGCTGAGATTTTGCTGCTCAACCAAGGCTGGTCCTGCAGTGGGGACCTCTTTGTTTATTTAATAGCAGGAACCCAGCACTACGTAATGGAACTGAGCCGCACACCAGGGACAAGTTAATACAGCAACAATGGCATGAAACAGTTCTATTTTTTATTCTTTTACTACTATCACGGCACGAGGCTGCTTCTCTTAACTCTTACTTCATTTATTACCGGCTGCCATGAACGATCATTTATAAAGGAGGACTGAGAAGAAAAGAGACAGGGGAAGGTTGACGGCAATTTGCGAAAGGCACCCCATGTAAAGGCAACAGCTGTTAAACAGAAACACGAACTGCCCTACGTACTGCAGCCCCGAAGGATCCAGCTCTGAAAACTGAATTTAAAAACACTGAGCTTGGTCAGTGGGCTGAGCGGGAAGATGGTGAGAAACCCACACTACGTCTGCTTCCCCTTCCCCGCACGTCATGTTCACCAAGGGACACGCTCAAGATGAATTCAAGTGCCTTCAAAGAAAACATCTGTGATCCAAGATGACATTTCTGCTCCCCATCCATCCCTCCACGCTGCTGCCGCTTTTAGCAACATGCACTCACACAGTTGGCCTGCATTGACGGAGAAGATATAAGCCAGTGACAAGAAAACTAGCGTTGGCTAAGCACATCTACACTAGCTCCAACTGCTCAGGAGAAGGTCCAGGTATCATTTTCTATATAAATCCAACCAAGCTGCTGAGCTAAACTGATGCTGGAAGTCCTGAGTCAGCCCCTGCAGCAGGACAGGACAAACAATCTGAAGGAAAAGGTTCCAGTTCTCCCTCTGCCTCAGAAACAAGGCTTAAATATCCTTTGGTTGTGAACATCTCTGATCTTCAAGAGGTATTTCCTGACCTGGGCACAGGCTTCGCACATCACCTACCTGCCAAATCCCAGCTGGGAGAGAGGGGGGTGGACACAGCAAAATAGTTAAATAAATAAATAAAACGTACTGTACCACAGAAAGACACCCTGGAAGGATACAAAGACCGGATACACTCGCTTCATGCAGTTAAATAATGAGTCCATTTTGGTGCAAGACCACAGAAAGACACCCTGGAAGGATACAAAGACAGACCGGATACGCTGGCTTCATGCAGTTAAATGAGTCAATTTTGGTGCAAACAAGAGATCAACCACCGACAGGGTAAGTGCCTCCACAAAAGCCTCTTCCCTGGCCTGAAGGCTCCAGCCATCGGCTTCTCTGGCTCTGCTCCCAACACAGGAGCAAACCCCAGTCCCAGAGAGACCAACACAGTCACCGGTGCAAAACACAGAGACTTTAATTAAAACCACAATGTGGGAGGAGGTGTGGGAATGCTGCTTCAGACATGGAGCACCCCTGGGTGCTGCTACGTGTGTGGACCCACCAGGAGAGGGGCAGAGCCCCGAGAACCAGTGATGGACGCCGGTGGGAGTTGGAGGAAGGCAAGCAGCCGCCACGTGACAAGGGCACATCCCAAGCGTGCTGGTAAGATTCAAACAAGAATTAGCTGCTTAAAAGTCCAAAAAATCCCTAGTGGGACAGACGTGCAGACTCAGGCAAGCAAGAAACACCGAGCTCTACGGAAGCCTCTTCCCACCTCCTCGGCAGGTCCCAAGCCCAGGGACACCATTCCCAGGGAGCAGTGGCTGCAGCTGCAGGGGAAGGAAGCACCTCCCCACCCTTTTTTGATGCTGTATTTCCCATTCTTGGTGCGTCCCTCCCATGCATGGACGTTGACATTTCCACCCATCCTTTTGCATGGAAGCCCCACTCCATTAGAGGACCAGGAGAGATGCATTCCCAACCCTTGGAAAACCACAGGCTTTAGCTCAGCCATTGCCAGCCAGATGTTGCACAGCCATTTAAAGCACGGTGACAGTTGCCAAAAGCCACACAACAAACACAAGGGGACACAAGCCTGGGGTCTCCGTTCCAGGCACTGGCTGCTCCACCGGAGATGGACTCATCAAGTCCCAACAAGGAGACAGATCTCCAGCACCGTTCCCGGAGTGGATCCGTTAGGAAAGCCAAGACAAAACACATGTCCCATTTAGGAGTAAAACAAGACTTAACTCCAGTCTTCCATTTTCATTTAAAATGCAAGTTTATAGAGTTGTTTCAGGCAGGTCAAAAGATCCTTGCTCGCTCCTGCCCAGGGCCACGCCAGAGCAGACAGGACAGTAGCAGCACTGGAAAGCTCTGCTTTAGCTCTGCAGACACCTGGGGTTTCACCGCCTCTTAAATTTAGACTCTTTTCTTGCTCTCCCTCCCCTGAGTGCCTGTGAGATCCTTTACAAGAGGGAGGGAGTAGGTCTGGCAAAAAGAAAATTGGAAAAAAATTCACAAACTGGCTTGCTGTTTGTTTGTTTGTTTTTCCTTTCCCCCAACAGTAAAGCAGCGCAGCAGCAGAAGCCAAGCAGCCTGCCTGGGGGCAGCCCCATTGCCCCCTCCGTGGTCTGCAGGAGTGCCAGAGCAAGGACCCCTGCTGCCCCCGACCCCCAGCAAACACCAGATCAGAGCCCTCTCCCTCCCCACACCCAGCCTGGGAACCCCAAGAAGAAACATTCCCTCTCCAGCTGCAAAGTTGTGGACCACCTTGGTCAAGACCCGTGGCCACAACCGCTCATCTCAAACCCAGCCCCAGCCGTTCCTGCCCTGGTGATGCTGCTGGCATGAGCCCATGTCCCCATCCACCTATTTGCCTTCAAGACACCACTGCTGGTGGCACTGGAAGCATGGTCCCTCTGCCCAAGGTCCAGCACAGAAACACCAGCAGGGAATGACAAAGGGAAAGAGCTTTCTCCAGGTATAACCCGCTGTCCTGGGCTATTTATGCTTTTTGTTTCCAGCGCAGGTATATAAATGCAGGTAAAGCTGCATGCTTGCCCCCCCATGCTGCTTTTGCTCCGGGGATGCCTCCCTAAAAGAGCTGGGGAACATGCTGCTTTGTGGGGAAACCCCTTTGCTATGGGGCTGCCGCTACAATTTATGACCAAGCAGTAGCAATCACGGTCACCTCGTGCCACCGAGGCCAGCCCAGCCCCAGGGCAGCAAAGCACGGAGGAGGAAACGGGGTGTGCAGAGGGCAAGTTGGACCCAGAGATGAATGTGTGTGAACATGTGAGGTTTTGTGCCCGTTAAGAGGGAGCCTGAGCAGGCACCGCTCAAGCAGTGTCTTTGCATAGCTGTTCCCACAGAGCCGGGTCCCTCTGGGGACCTTGTCTCCGGCTCCAGAGCCAGCTCAGACCCCCACAGCCCAGAAGGTTCCCAGCTTCACCCGAGAGAAGAAGCAGTGGTGGGAAAGGAAGACCCAGGGAACCTTGCAGAAGAGATGGAAGGAGGAGGGAGCGGGGTTTTCCTTACCCAGAATAGGGGAGAGATGGCACCCTGCGCTTCCAGAAACCCACAGGCCTTCCCTACAACTTCCTCTACCCATTTCAGACCCCCGGCGCAAGCAGAGGTGGCTGCCTACAGGCACGTGCAGGCTCACACCTCACCCCTCGCAGTGGTTTCCCAAACCAAACAGCAACAGGAAACTTCAATGAAATTCAAAAGGGAAATTACAGTTACCACTGCCCAACACATAACACACGTGCCTTCCTCCCCTCCACACCCCCTTCCTCCCGGGGAAGGGAAAGCAGAGGAGCCTTCGCTGCAAGGCAGCCCCTACTCAAACCCCATTGACATGCCCGGAGCTGTAACAGGGCAGTCGTGCTGCCCGTGGACGCAGCAGAGAGGAGAAGCACAGCCCCAGCGTGGTCGCTGGCGAGACATCCCCGAGCTGGGGACGCGCAGGAGGAGCCGCTGCAGGTCCCGTCTCCCGTGCAAGGCCGGCGAGTGCTTTGGATCCGTGGTTGCCGATGAGGATGTGCAGGAATGAATGGGCTGTGTCTAACGGGCAAGGTGATGAGGAGGGGGTGAGGGGAGGAGGAAGAGCGTCGCGCTGTGCCTCCGCTGCCTCGACTCTCCTCCCGCGGCCTCCTTAGGACGTCACAGGCTGGATGGGGAGCAGGCTGCCGAACTTAAAGTGCTGGATCACAGGAAACTTCTCCAGGCACTGCAGGAGGGGAGATAAAAGAGAGGTGAATTCAGGAGACATTTCCACCTTACGCATGCAACCAGAGCTACATCCTGCCTCCGGGGCCGGGAGGCAGCCAGCTCGGGGCCACTCAACTCAGCTACAGGCAGAGGGATCAGTCCCACATCTCCCCTCAACATTCCTGTCAGGGTCCTCAGGCCAGAAACACTTCATAACCCCATCCTCTTCCCTTCAGCCAGAGCCTTTTTGCTTGCTGAAATTCAGGCCTGGAGCAGGAGCAAAAGAGGTGTGTTTATGTCAGCAGCTTTCTCTCTCACCACATCTCCTTGCTCGAGCTGGTTTCTTTGAAGAGCTTCACCCTACAAACACTTTGAGAACTGCACAAACCCCCCGGGGAAGAGACTCCCTCCCCAGAACGGTGCCTACGCTCTGGGTTCAAGGCACCATCTTACATCTGCAAGGCACTGCCTGAACTGCTCCAGGTTCTCAAGTCTTTGACAGACAAGCACCAGTGATTTTGTTGCCATAGTTTATGGCCTGATCCTGTTCCCAACAATCCCTCACCCCTGAAGTTCCCACCCCCAATTGCAGACTAATAGGGAGAATGTGGATCACAGATCAGTCATATACATCCCCTACAAGGCAGCTTAGCTCAGAGCTGCTTCCTCCAGGCTCTGCACAGGGAGAGCTGGGCTGTGAGGGCACAGCTCCTTCTGCCCACCATCCCACCAGGGCAGGAAGGTCAGTGACTGTGGTCAATAACCACGTCAAAGTTTGCCAGCACTCGCCCAGCAGAGCCACTCAGAGCTCTGGGTTTTTTGAGTCATTGCAGATTCCAACTGCCCAAAACTCACAGAGAGCACGGAGCAGACTCACCTCCAGACACACAGACCTCAGCAGTACGTGAGCACCAACCCAGCAGCTGCATCTACACTAACATCACCCAGGGTAGTTGTGCTAAACAAGGGCCATAGACCACCTCACTGTGCTGCAACAGGGACTCATTTACCAGCGGGCATGGCTAGTGAGATGGTGGCCACCTCCTCGCTGCAGGCAGAAGGGCAAGTTCTTCCCTCCCTAGACAGCACAATATGAAGAGGAGAAAAGAAAGCCAAGTGCCCTGTGTCTTGGGAGGACAGCCCTTCCCCTGTGCCCAGCTGAGGCATGGGTCTGCTGATGGTGGACTCATTCTACAGGAGATGAGAAGTACATACAACCAAAGCCCAGTAGCTATCAACCAACAGGAGTCCATCTAGTCCCAGCAACTCCTTAGCACAAACAGCATCTGCTCAGAGCCGGGGTGGACAGGACGCTGTGCCAGGCAGGTCCCCAGCTCTCCATGAGCTGCAGAGCCATCAGCAGGAGGGTGTCAAAGCCACTCTGGCTCCTGCCTGCAACCAGCAGCCTCCCAGGCAGATCTTGAGGACAAGACGTATGGCTTGCTCCTCCAGGGACTTCTTCGAAGCACAGTTCCCTCCTACCAAAGGGAGGCAAGAGCCATGTTGTAGTTCTAGCTCTCCTTTTCACAGGAAGGAGCTTTGTGCCCTCTATGGGGCTGAGCTGAACCCACTGCAGCTGGGGAGATCCCAGCTCTGGGGATGGGGAGAAAGTGGTGTGCTGCAGACAGCTCTTCACCCCAAGGCAGGCAGCCTGCCCTCGTGCTGTCATCATGGGCAAGCAGGAGGATTTGTGCTCAGGAGCCCGGGGCTACAGTAATCCCTTTGGAGCCAGAGGTCAGGCAACTGGTTCCAGCACAACCAAACTGCTCACAAGCACATTGGAGCAAAAACAAGTGTGGAGGTGGTGGAAGTACAGCACGGCTGTATCCGCTCCTGGGGAAAAATAGCCACACAGAAAACCACAAGCCTTCATGGCAAGTCACCAAGGAGAAATAAGTCCTGTGACCATTAGGGCACTTCACCTTCAAAGCTTCCTAATGCTCAGAGCTTCTGCCATCTCCCAGCACAACCACTTCGACAAACCCTCAGAGGAAGCAGTGCCGGATAACAGTGACGTGAGGGAAGAACAGAGAGAAATGAATATTGGAGATGTTGACAGCTAGAAATGTCAGCCCAACCAGCTCCAAGGAGTTCCACAGAAGACCAGACTGGTTTCAGCTCTGGATGAAGAGAGCTCACCACCCGTGGGAAGAACGGGTATCCATTCCACTTAACACATCATCAACCCAAGAAGAGGGAAACTGAGAAACTTTTCCTCCTCTATCCAGCAGGACTAGCACAAATTTACTGGATTATTAGAGATGCCAAAAGACAGGACCCTCCTTACACCACATGTGAGTGAAAGTGATGTAGCCAACACCAGTTCAGTGGAGGGGACAGGCTTATATTCTTCTTGCCACCATCTTCATCACGCTGAAGGTCTGCTTGGGACTCAACTGGGGAGTGGATTCATGCATCAAGTTCAACCTTTAAAGATGGAACTGGGACTAGATTAGTTACAATGGAAAGTATTTCCCGACTGACTGCAGCAGAGAAAGAAAGGTCAGGAGACACAAAAGCAGGCTCAGGGGAAAAACATCAAGGCTGATGCTTTAACCACACTCTATTCTGTCGACTTCTTCACTCGCCTTTGATGGAGAGAATAAGAAAAGCCCTTGCACTTCCAAGCGAACACGTCTTCACCCATTATATTTATATTATAAATAGACACATTTGAGATTTCATAAACACACAGAGCCGAAGACATTGTCTTCAGCCTACTGCCCATCCACAGACTCTGCAGCAAGCACCCTGGAGTGCCTGGATCCAGACCAGAGCTCCCAACCACACGGATGCACCTGAGCTTTCTGTTGGCTGTTAAAAGTCATCTCACAGAGGGGACAGAGAAGAGATAAAGCACCCAGAACGCTTTTTAAATGAACCGGGTCTGGGGATTGCCCTATTCCTACCAAGTGAGAGCAGGGTGTGAGTGTGATCTCTCCTGGTCTGCTTCCAGCAAGTGACCCCTTTGCCCTGCTGCTGCCTCCACTCAAAACCTGGTCACAGCCAGCACCGCCCGGCAGCGAGCGCTTCTCAGCCACCCCCAGACGTGTTAAGGAGCTGGAGCCTCCATCCAAGTGTCCGATTTCACCTGATCTAATTGCAATGAGTGATGAGAGGGGCAGGGAAAAGGGAGGGGGGAAAAAAGAAGGAAAACTTACTCTCAACCAGTCAGACAGAAAGCAACACCACAACCCCAAACCTTCCCTCTCCTTACTATCACACGCTCTGAGCTTTGCCACAGAAGCTGCCTGCCTTGAGGTGGATGAAGACCCATCTCAGCACTTGGGGGCTGCTGGCTCATTTATCTTCTGCTAATGTTGGCAGTGCCTAATTGGGGAAAGACCACAAGGGTGAAGGCAACGCAGTTGGGAACATCAAGCAGAAACTTGCTTTGGGAGCCAGCAGCAAACAGACAAGATCTTCAGCAGTGGCTGTGGGTGCCAAGCCTGAAACACCCAGAAGGATTCAGTTTTCAAAGGATGAAGCTTCAGCAACTTCTGAACATGGTGTCATTCCCAGAAAGATCAGTCAAAGAGTCTAGCTGCAAATGTTGGTAAAACCTGCATGGCCAGGCACATCATAAGTGAAAGCTCTGCCCAGCCACACTGCCATGTCCATCTCTCATCTCCCAAGCCAGGCAGGAACCAGCTGAGCCAGCAGCAGGGTGGGAGACTCCCCACAGCAGATGTAAAAAACCAGTGAGGATTCCCCAGCAGGAATCCCCCCTCTCCTCTGCCCATCCAGGTGAACACAGGCACCATGCAGTGAGAGGAGAAGACATTGCTGCATGAGCACCATGTACTTAGGAATAGTCTTTTAAGATCTACAAATGTTCTGCGAGGGAAAAACTAAATTTAAAGTGCTTTGGTTGACTCAATGTTTTCTACACCTTAGTCTAAATTTGTGTCCTTACTCTTCCTAGCAGATTTTGCATTCCCCCCTCGACACAGCTACATCTCTAGATATTTCTAGAGACCCACCAGTCCTGGATCTGGCATTTCCACACAGAATGTCATCTGCTATTCAAAATAGACCAAGGCCTCCAGAAAAGACCATGTCTTGGGTACACCTAAAAGAGCCAGAGAATCTTCCAATCTCTAGAGCAGCAGGCTGCGCTGTCCTCAGCAGGCCAAGTGGATCTGTCAGCACATGGTGGCCCCAAGACATCAGTGGACATGCAAGTTGCACCCTGGGCACATCAGTGCCAAGCTCCTCCAGCAGAACTCATGGTGCATGAGGTGGAAGCAATCATATGGCACATGTGGGGCAACAGACAGGAGTGCCAAACAGCATGGGGCACGAGGGGTGCCAGGGGAACAGTGTGGGAAGGAGCTGGTCCAAAGGAAAGAAAGGAGCAAGGCAGGGCTGCCAAGGCAGCAGCAGACCATGCTCAGGCTCCAGGTTTTAGGGGACTCACATTTCACTTTAACAGCACTCCCAAGGTTGGGGTCTTCCCTCCAGCCCCTCCTTCCAGCCTCTCCAGACCCCCCAGCTTTCACACCAGAGGCTCCAGCTCAGGGTTTCCCAGCAAGCAGCATCTCAAACCCCCACGACAGAGCTGAGCTTCGAGCGGGGGCAGTCGCAGAGGGGCAGCCCAAGGGCACCCCTCCAAGGAGCAACCAGCAGAGGGGGGTCGACCCCCAGCCCCGCTTGCTTCTCCTCTTTGGAGGCCGGGAGGAAAGCTGAGCTGGGGGCGGAAGGAGCCAGCGGGCCTGGGAGTGACACCTCACAGATTAGAGAGGTATGTGGCCTGGAACCTAAACACAGGATGTGCAGTGCAGAGGAAGGGCTGGGGGAGGGAGCAGGCTGAATTCGGCACAGTTAACCCCTTTGTGCGCTGGGCCTGAGCAGAGCTGCCCACCAACCTCCGCTCTATGTCCTCAGCGTGGCAGGGACCACAGGGTACAGGATTAACTCCTCCAAGCCCCATCGGTCTCCCCGGGCGCACCACAGAGCTGTACTGTGCTCTGCCATCCCTGCTCCTCCAACAGTGAGTCCCTGCAGAGCCAGCACGGTCCCATCCTTCCCAGCAAGGGATGCCGCCTGTCGGCCGTTCCCTCCGGAGGCCCAGATGTGGCGGTTCCTGTCCTGCTTCCTCAAGCTCAGGGTTAGCTTGAGCAGGAAGGAGAGATAAGGGAGAGCCAAAACTGCCTGGTTCCCCGGGTCAGGGTTTGCCAGGAAAGCCTGCTGGGGCAGGGCCAGCAGAGTCCCAGTGAATGGAGGGCTGCCAAGCCGGGGAGGTAGCTGTGGCCTTGCCGGTCCAGGATACTGCACAGAAGGGACTCGTAGCAAGGGGAGATCGGTAAAAAGCATTCAGCCTACTCTGGGGTTCTTGAAACATGGGATGAGGATTTAAACTAAGTCTCCTCCAGCTGGAAAAATATCAGTGAGGGGACCAGAAGGACGAGCAGATCAAGACATTGACTCCAATTTGGAAACCTGCACCTTGTGCTATGGGAAGAAATGGCCAAAGTCATGTCAAGGAATGGCCATCTTGGGATTGGTTTTGGGGCAGACGCTAGGCGTGTAGAAGCCCCTTTCTAGCCAGCTGAACCTGAACTGCCAAGGGCTCCCCAACCACATTTAGCATGGGGTGGCAACTGGCTGTGATGGGCCCTCACACCAAGGAGCAGCAGAAGAGAAGAGCTGAGCCATGGTGAAGTGGAAGGGAGGAGGTGTGTGGCCAAGCAGCCTCCCCCTGCCCTGGATGCTCACCTCTGCCTTGTACATGCGGATGAGGCCCTGGTTGACCTTGGACCAGGAGGGCACGGCGCTGATGTTCCAGAGCTGGTTGGAGTGCTCGGCAAAGGGGCCCGTCTTCATCTGAAAAAGACCCGAGAGCAGGGCTGAGGGAGCAGGGCCAGCCAGGAAGCTCATGCACCAGCAGTGACTCACGCTCACACTCTCTCCAAGCAAACATTCCCACCAAGCCCTGTGACCCACGCACCAGCCACCTCACTGCGCCTTCCCTCCCTCCCTCTATGCTCCCTCCCGCTGCGGCCACATCACATGAAGCCGTGGCGATCCAGCTCCCCCTTTCCCTGATAAAATTAAGCCTTTTCCTGCCACGCTTTCCTAATCAGACCTCCCTCCACACACCTCCCTTTTAATGACTGCGTTTAAAAAGCCCCACGTAAGTCCCGTTCTCTCCCCCAGTAGAGCTTGGCTCAACGCTGTTCCTATTCTACCCAGAAACCTCCCAGTGCAGCACTGCTGGGCTTTCCAAGAAAATGACTCATTCCCCATTCAGATCAACAACAAGCAGCAGCGACAACCGCCGCTGCCTTCCCTGAATAGAGGGCAGTGCAGGTTGGCAGCAGCTCCGGTGTCCGCAGCCCACTCCACACCTGGCTCTAGCAGAGGAGGGCTCTGGAGGAGGCAGGAGCAGAGGGGACACGCTCCAGTCCCACTCTCCAAACCAGCTCTGGAGCTGCGAGTTGCTAGCTTGCAGCAGATGCTTTACATTTTTTAATTTTATTTTTTTTTTTATACTCCAGTGCTTCTCCTCCCAGGGCGAGGGGTTCGGAGGAGGGAGGGCAGGGGGGAAGCTGCAATCAGGGACAGTTTCATGTAGATTCCCTGGGTAGTTGTCTCTCCTTCTCCTCCGCGAACAAAAACAGACCCTCAGGGAGAAAAAGAAATACAACGCCGCCACTCTGCCTGAGCGAAGTTCCCATGACATCAGAAACCACAAGGCCGAAGCTCACGCTAAAAAGGAGCGTGGGGAGAGAGGAATCTCTTGGACTCTCGTTCTCGACTCAGGGCTCGAACAACTAACCCCTTCCCTCCACGCACGCACGCACAGGCCTGGAGCGAGGGTGGGAAAAGAGCCTCCAAAACCACCTCTCTGCCAACTGTAAAAGCAAGGAAAGCTGATCAATCTGCTTTAGGAAATTGCTGCTGCCCTTCAGCAAGGTCTGCGTGGCACCAGCCTGCAGTAGAGAAAGAAAAAAAGAGAGGGAAAGAGGGAGAGGGAACCCAAAAAACCCCACTGCTTTGGAGCTGAGCTTCAAACCTCCTGGAACACTGGGGGAAGCGGGTCTGTGGTTCTGCCCGCTGCCAGGAGAGCACAGACACATCCCCGCTTCCCCTCGGTGGTTCTGTGAGCTGGGGGATGACGGATGAGCTGCTCAGCCCTTCCCGCTTTCCTTGCGGATACAAGATGAAACACACAGACACACACAAAGCATGACGTTACCCGACAGAGCCGGCGCGTGAAGCGTGAGGATTTTGGCACCCAAGTTAAAGGAGGACGGGGAGCTCAGCGCCAAGCGGGTCGCTCAAAGCATCCCCCCCCCTCCCCTCCACAGGGGAGATTCGGCTGCGTGCGTTTGGACGCCAAACCTTCCTCCAGCATCGTTGCCCTTCGCAGGGGCACAGCTTGCATCAGCCACCACCATCACACTTTGCTTCTCCCCCTTTCCTGAGCCGGAGTGATTGTGCCGGAGGCAAATGTGGCTCATGCCTGGCACAGTCACCACCACGGCCCTGCTCACCCTGGGCACCCGGCGAGGGATGGTTTGGCTACGGCTTCAAACTGGGGAGGGAAAAATAAGGGGGACGAGGGGAAAACAAAACAAAAACAAAAAAATCATCTCCTTCCAGCCACAAAGGGCGAAGAGGGAGAGCTGAGGGGGGGGAGAGCGAGAGGCGGCGAGCGCGCTGCAGTCCCGCAGTGACCCCAGGGGAACGGAGTGAGTCAGAGCAGCCATATTGAGCAGGAAATTACTCACAGACGCGGCGTTCCTGCCTCTCGGTTCCCAAGAGAATCGGCCTTTTGTAAATGGTTCCTCTGTCAGTGCCGGGGGGAGGGGGACGGCTGAGGCCGTGCTTTCCTGTCAGCTCCTTCCCTTCCAGCAGAAACCCGAGCCCTCCCTTCCCAAACCTCCAAATTTAGAAGCCAGATTGAAGCTGAAATTCCTGCTGCCTGCCCTGGGCCCTCAGAGGAGCATCTGGGCGATCGTAGTGATCCACCATAACAGTCAGGGTGTACCTAACACCTCACTTCTGCACAAACACACATAGCCCTGCCATCGCTGCCATCCGCAGCCCCTAGAGATGCTCCCAAACCCTCCTCATCCTCACATTTTCAGGTACCACACACCCTCTTGGCAAGCAAGGCGGCAGCGGGGGGACAGCTGGAGTCCCAGCCGGCTCCATCAACCTCACCCTACTCAAGAACTGCATGTTTGGGTCCAAAACCACCCCACAGATTGCCCAACAGCAGGCCGGCTTACGCAAGGCTCGCTGCCGTGCCTGTGCAGGGCGGTGCTGCTGTGAGGAGAACGCCTCAGCGGGTTCAGCCTGGACATCATCTCCCTGCTACTTTAAGAGGTTTAAATAGACACAAGGCAAACACCACAACAGCTTACACTCACATCCCTGAAACGTCACCCGGGGGCTGAAAAAAAAATAAATATCTGCTCAAGAGAATATTCTCTCGGTTGAAAGAAAACAACCTGCCTGGGTTGTAGCTGGCTGAAACAAAACCTGCTCTCGTGGTGGTAAGACGTACCCAAGCCACTATGGGAACTGTTGCGGCGTTTGCTACGTGTTTAGCACCTTTAAAGGAGAGCTGTTCTCAGCTGACAAGCTCAGAAGAAAGTAATATCGTTCATTTGTTAAAGACTTTAATCCCTTCTATCTTTCTCCCTGCTATTTTGTTTTGTTGTTGATTGCGTTTGGAGGCACTCGAGGCTGTCTCAGCCCCCCCTAGCGGCAGTAACAGCCTTCCCAGGCATTTGGGAGAGAAAAAAACCCCAAATTTTAAAAGTAGACTCTTTAAAAAATAAAAATAAACAGTGCTTGCATGAAGATGGATTAAAAATGCCACGCGTTTGATAATCCAGGTTGTTGCCATCCCTTAGTGCCTCACGCCAGGAGGGCCCGAGAGGAGGGCTCCCTGCCACCAGGTGGCACTGAGGAACCCAGCAGAAATCCTGAATTCTGATTCTGGGGGGAAAAAACTGAAATCACTTATTTTAAAAGCCTGCTAAAAAGCTAAGTTTCTGCAGGAAAAGCAGAGTGACCCGAAGAAGCAGGGTGGTGCTGTGTATTTTAAACTTTACACGTCAGCTGTGCAGTGCAGAATTTTCTGCTGTGTCAAGAGATGTTTTTCTGTTTTATGTTTTTAACAAGTTAGTACATTGTCTGGATATTACAGAGGCCCAAGTTACAATAAATCTTAAGAGCATCTTGGCTCCTGCTTTCCTGTCCTCAACCTGATCTCTTCCGCCAGCACCTCTTTACTACCCATGGCATGATTTAACTCTGCATTAAGGGTTAAACCCCGTGAGGTGCTAAGTACCAACCAACTCTACTAGATTCAGCAGTACTTGACACAGCATCTCCCGGGGTTTGGGCCAAAGGCTTCTATGAAAATTTCCAAGATGAAAGGCTAAGTTCATATTCTGTAACCTCCCTTCTCATCTAATCACTAAATTAGAGAGGCGGAGGGGATGGGGGGGTGGGAAGAGAACAGAACAAAGGGGAACAACCACACTCTGTCCTTCAAAATTAATCCCATCAACTCTCTCTTGCCAGAGACAAGAAATCCCTCACCACAACAGAGCCTGTGGTTCTTGCTCTCACTGCCCAGACCGTGCTGCAAGGGGTGGGTGGCAGGAACACGGCCAGGTCATCGCCTGCAGCAGAGGGCAGAAAGCCATGAGCTCCTTCATGAGAAATACCACACGCAGCTGGCAGCACGCTGAGTATCACCAGTCCCTCACCCAAGGACCACAGAGTGCTTGAGCAGAAACATGGTCCTGATAGCATGGTCAGCAGGGTGAAGCTCAGCACCATCTCTGCCCTGGATGGCTTGAAAATAAGGAGCGTTTAATGGGCAAATCTTTTGGTAGGATCTGGAGGAGACCAAGCAGCACAGAGCTTTGGGAGCCTGCCCTAAGCAAGGGGAGGCCCAGGGCCTGCTAAGCAGCACCAACGGCTGGAGGGGAGGGAGGTTATCTTGGCAAGCCCAGCCGGTCTGCAGCTCCTACTTCATCTTCCTAGCACACTTGCAGGCACCAATCTTCTCTATCCAAGTTCCCACTGACAGATCCAAGTGATGATCCCAGGTTATTTGTTTGCTCTTGTTAAAGTTCCCTTTAACTGCAATGCACAGCCCATCTAGCTTAATTATACTTTCCTCTCAACATCCCTGTCTCAACTCATTCAAGGAGAGCACCTCAGACATGCAACAACAGTTCATCCACACACTTCCACAAGAACAAACAAACAAAGGAGGAAGAGAAAACCTCAGCCAGAGCCAAGTATCTAATGTCAAGAGAACTTCCCCGTGGGACAAACCTTCCAGTCCTCACCTCTGTAATGAAGAGGATGCACTCCAGGAACATGAAGTCCTTATGGTTTTCGTTTACCACCTTCTCATCAACAAAATGTCGAGGCTCCAGATTTGGATGGTCTAAAAAAGAGTAAGAGACAATAGGAAGTAGCCTGTATGGCAGCCCCATTCTAAAACCACGTTCAATCAGGTCTTGTCCTGCCCCTCTTCCACAAGAAACACGATCCTCCCATCAGAGCTCTTCAGAAGTCAGCACAGAGCTGCTCCCTTCCATCTCAACTCCCACTCCAATGCCTCAGCAGTGAGAGCACCTGGTAAACTCCCCAGGGCAGAAAATGTGTTTTCTACCACCAAAAACAAGACCCTCCTTTTAAAAAGCTTGTAGTCACTGCAATAAAGACAGATGTACTGTACAAGGAAGCCTTCCATCTCCCAACCTAAGCAGCTAGCTTTATTTGGAAAGCTGAGGGAAAAAAAAAAAGCCCCAAGCAAACTCTTCTGCCGTATCATACACAAATTTGACATATTTGTATTTAAAAGTCAGTCCCAAGCCCCTTCATCTTTGTAACCTAGACAGACAGGGCAGGGGGCAGGCTGGGACATGAGAAGATTTTTATTAGTACCTATCAGCTGGGAACTGCCCCATATGAAAGGTAGAAATTGGAAGTCATCCAAGCCCCACACGCCCTGGCTGCCAGCAGGTTCCATCCTGTAGGTCTTCTGAAGTTTTCGCATCACTTCAAGGTACCTGAGACCCAAGAGAGAAGGAAGGGTTAAGGCAAGGCCTTCTTCTGTCTTCATTGACTTACATGAGGACAAGAACAACCAGTTTGGAGGTCACAACTTTATCACTTGCAAGCAGGACCCCCTCACAGTACGTTCAGCTCCTTTGCCACAGAAAGCAGCCTAGTGGTACGTATAGTAGCAAATACCAGCATCTTTTAGAAATTAACAAATTCACTAAGAAATCAAGTGGTAGGGGTTTATTTTATCTGCAGTGTCCTATGTTTGTGCAGATCTTTCCCCACCTCAACTGTTATTTGAAAACATTGACACTTTGCTCTCCTTCAACAACTTCCAAAAAAGCTCAGAAAGCTTTCCACCTTAGAACAACCGCTACTTGCACTTTTCAGGTGGAAGATTAAAGCTGGAAGAACTATCAAAGGAAATTGTTTCCATGCCACCAAACAGTGACCGAGCTGGGATTAGATCTCTGGACTCCAAACCCACATTCCACCAGTTTCTTCACTACCAACTCTACCTCCTGGGCTGGAAACACATCCAGAAGAGCAGTGGAGGCCTGCCAGTTTCATTGATTTATTTTTATTTTTTTAATGCCTGAAGAGATGTTAGATCCTCTGATCAGATATTCCTGTCTATCACAAAGCACAGAGCTTCACCCACATACCTCTGCAGAGCTCAATATCTTGTGTTCAACTAAAGTAACCTTCCAGAAAGACACCCAGTCTCTAACAGACAAGGTGCTGTCATCCCTTTCGGAGACCGATGCAACGGGTCACTGTACAGTTCATTAAACAGTACAACTGCCTCCTAATTTTCTCTACGTTTGTCTTCAGTTTTCCCACTCTACCCTTCTTCCCTAGGCCAGCAAGCCCTTCAGCACTCACACTCTCTAATTACGTACACACCTCTGTCAATTTGTTCATCTCAGACCCCAGCAGGAGGCTCTTCTTACAATTTCTTACTCCCAAAAGGGTGCAGATGAATGAAAGAAAGGGGGTACAATCAGCCCAGACAACAGGAGGAGTCTGGTGTACAGAACAGACAGTAGCATCTCACACATCTCAGGCAGCTGGAAGTGGACACTGTCAGATCTGCCCCCAAACAGCCCAATGCTTCTGGCCCTTCTCCTTCCATGACCTCACCTGTTAAATACTTTAAAGACGATGGCCATCTGGTCATCCACTCTGAGCACACCGATTTTGCAGAGGCAGCAGAGAAAGGCTGCAAACGCAGCTTCGTGCCCTAGAGTGAAAGAAGATGAAGAGATGTGACACTGGTGTCTCCAGTCCCCAGGACAAGCTTCCTGTAGGCACCTCAACAGCTCTTCAACAATCACAGCAGTGATTTCACACAGTCCCATCTCAAGAGCCCCAACCCTATTGTCCCTATTAATGCCTTGAGCTGACAATATTTTATCCCTACGCAGCACCCACCTAAAGTATACCTTCTACACACCCATAAGGTGATTATTAACTTGGAGAAGAAGTAAGTTCTTGAGGAAAAACAGCTCCAACACTGGATGTGCTGGGAGCAAGGCAGGGCCTTTCCCAGGAGCTTGGCACAGCAGGGGAAGTGGAGCACTGCAGAGTCATCTGCTTGAGGGATGTGAGAGAACCTCACATCTGCAAGTAAACAGATTTCCTCCTGTTTCAAAAATATCTCTGTGTCGAAAGGATGCAGATCCCATGACACTGCTGGGAACAGTCCATCCCAGACGGACAGTACCGGGATCTCAGGCTGAGCCTCTGCAGCTTGCTTTCCAGCTTACAGCATGGAAAAGAAACAACCAGCAAACCCATAAATATCTTTTAGTGGAAGGGACCAAGAAGAAGGGAGAGTACAAGACCAGCAGCTCTCCACTGTGAAGTGCAGCTCCCAGTGTAGGAACAAGGTGCACCAATGGTCTGTCCTGGGACACAGGGAGCAGAGGAAAGGCTGAATTTCTTTGCCCAGGCTGACAAAACCCCAGCCAGCAGATCCCTTTCCGAAGACAACATCTCCCCCTGGTGCCAGCGAGCTGCAGCTCTCCTGGAAAGCACTGCACAGACACCAGCTCTTCATCCTTTTATCCACATCCTCCTCTTCCTCTGCCTGCCCAGGTCCAAAGTCGTGTTTCCTTGCGCTCACAGTGTCCTGCTCTCCTGTCTTTTGGCAAGGACACTCTCCTCAGCTCACTCATCCTCCAGAGAGAGGAACAGAGCACACATGAGTCTGGATTTAAGTCTATGTGAAGCCAGCGCAGCTACTCCAACCTGCAATTCAGTGTCTCCTTAGGTGCAAAATGCTTCTCCTTTCAGATTTCAAAGTCCCTCTGTAAGCACTTATGTCACTTCTAGGGAGCACCAGACCTCAAGCCACCTCCCACTGAACACAAACTTGGTTCCAACTCTAGTTCCAATTTAACCCATTATATTCTGTCCCTCTAAACTGCCTATTGCAGCTCAGCAGGCGCAGGACTGCAGATTTCAAAGTTCCTCTGTAAGCACTTATGTCACTTCTAGGGAGCACCAGACCTCAAGCCACCTCCCACTGAACACAAACTTGGTTCCAACTCTAGCTCCAATTTAAGCCTGTTCCTCTAATCTGCCTATTGCAGATCAGCAGGCGCAGGACTGTGGTACATGGTAAAGCAGCTCCTATAGCTTATCCCCAATGGGCTTGCACAGCTGAGCTCCCATTTCATCAGATGAGACACAAAAAGGGTGTCACAGCTCTAGCACAGCCCTGCTGCCAGCCCCAGCTCTCTCAGTCATAGCCCATGCTGGACAAAGGGGTGAGGAAGCCCTAGAAGCACCAAGCTGGCACTAAAAGAAAGTGGCAATAACATATTTATTTAAATAAATAGCACCAGGCTCCAACGGGTCACTTCCCAAGGAAGTCAAGCCTCAAACAGCATGTGTGCCCAGGTACCTGTGCCATAGTCAATGCGGGTGGAGTTCCCCACAGATTCCTTCAGGTACACGGCCACTTCTGGTGCAGCGTCAGCCAAATGCTTGGGAATCACTGTTGCCACCAACTTTTCTGCTTCCTGAAAGACACAAAAGGCTCCCTCAAGTGAGTGCGGACCTGTCACAGTTCCCAGGAGCAAATCACCCTCTGCTCAGACACTGCTGCAGAGGGAGAACTGCAATGGTGCACTCCTACAATGGCCAGAGCCAGCATGAGAGGAGCAAATTCTCCCGTTGAAAGAGTCACCTCCAGAGATGGTGTAATTCAGGGAAAGCTTGGCCTGACACTTATTCAGGCCACACATATCCTGTAGGAAAAGAAACCTTCACCATCCAAGTACATCAGCCCAGTTCCCCACTGGGTCATCTCCACTAGCACTAACAGAGCAGCAGACCTGTGTGTGCTCACTGCTGCTGGGACTGCACCTGTGCCACCACCCAGCAGAGCAAGTGCTCTGAGCTGAGGGAACCCGAGGAGTTTGACAACCTTCCTCTGGTTTTGCGTGCCACCCATCAGCTGGCAGACACAGTGAGCCGTTACAAAGCAAAGGAGTTCCTTGGGTTTGGATGGTCCTCATGGGCTCATCCAGGGCTTGGAGACCCAGCCAAGAGCATTCATATGGACTACACGCTCTCATAAGAGAAGACAGCACCAGATCAGGAGTAAGTGGTGTGTATCAAGAGGTGGATCCTTCACAGCTTACCTGAGCAATTCCTCATAGGCTGCTTGGCTGCCACACAATGACGGAGCCGTTCTGCTACCCCTGCTGGGCACCCTGCCCTTCTGAAGGAGCTTCATGTAACACTACACATGACAGACATGCTCACCTGGTCTAGTTTGGCGTACCAGGTCCTGAAGGCTTTGTTCCCAAAGCGAGAAGGTTGATCCACTGGCGGGGTTTCATCAATCCATCTGTCAAGGGTGTTCAGAAGAGCCACCAGCTTTTCAATGGGCTACAGAGACAAAGAAGATGAGGGGTCACAATGATATAAAACAGAGCAGTCCCTCAGGCTCTGACACCTCATCTTCACCCTGGATTGGAGTTGTTAAAGCCCCCACTATCCTTCCCGAGGGTGGCAAGCGGGGATGGGATGTGCCAACCCTCCCCGAAATGCAAAAGGGCTCAGATCAGTCCAGTACAAAGCCCAGCCTGAGGCAGGTTCTCCAGTCGCCCACACAGCTTTCCACGAGCTGCAACAGCACTATGCTCTAAAACCTCTGGGAGAAGAGCTACAGCAGGCTGCTTGCTGTAGGGCATACAGGGCTGAGAAGCAGGGAAGTCGTACACAATTCAGGGATCTCCAACATAAAACTCAGGTTCTGAGTCTTGAGGGTCCTGCATCCCCCACAGGATACAGCACAGCACTTGTCATATATCCTCACCAGTGGCTGGTGATGTGATTCAGAAGCCCTTCTCAAGGCCTCTAATCCTTGTCCTGAAGTGTCTCTTAGGAGCCAGGATTAGCAGCGATGGTGTTAGCAGTTGTACAGCACCCAGAGCAGCAGGGCCTAAGCACAAGTCAACCTTCTCAGCATGATTCCTAGTGCTTCAAACTCATACCAGCCAGACTGGTATCCACTACACATGGCAAAATACAACCTACCCAAAATACAGGGGAAGAGGCAGCCTGATTTGCCCACCAGTGGTCTCATCAGAGCAAGCATGAGAAGCTCCTGGCTCTCAGACAAAACCAAACAATGCTGATGGGAAGACAAATGCAACAGCAAGACAACAGAGCCATCTTTCTTACACCCAGTGCTGGAAGGAGAACATGAGGAAGCTGTGTAGGATGCACGAAAGTGACTGGAGGGGGCACTGCCATGGCCATGAAGGAAAAGAAGAGGTGCAACAGGCGACACAGCACGCTGTCTCAAGCTGTACCGTTAGGACCAGGGCTGGGTGCTCCTCCCTGCTTTCCCCATACAGCTGGGGAACGGCTACACCCCACACACCGAAAGGCAGCACTTTAAGCAGCTCCAAACAGTTTTAGGAGGCTCTGGTGACAACTGGTCTGTTGTCCAGAGGCTCTGGGATTCTCCTTATCCGACTCCAAACAGCCGGAGAGCCGCCAGCCGCCACAGCAGCTGGCCAGGCCCCGGGCAATGTAGGTTCCTCTGTCTCGAGAGGGGATTCCTCCTTCAAGGGGACAAAGAGGACAGCAGAAGCAGCGGCTGGTTTGACTTTGCTGGAGGCATCGACCGTGTGAAGCCGGCTGGTCTCCTGGGCTGTGGTTCAATTCTTCACATCGCCTGCCGGGAGGACGAGGAAACAGCCGAGCCCAGCAAGTTTCTAGCCCTTGAAGTGCCACTCGAAGGGGGTGGGTGGGTGGAAAGACAGGCATGGCAGAGCCGTGCTGCAGCTGAGCCAGCTGTGGATCGCTCCCCGTGCCCTCCACTCCCAGGAGGAAGGGTCTCATGGCAGACACAGCCTCCTACAAACAGCAGCTTCTCAGGAGCCAACAAGATGGTGGGACCAGCCAGCGGGAAGTGGGATCAGGCAGGGGAGAGATCCACCCACCCCGCAGGACCTTGACACTTGGCCACTGAGCCAGGCCAGAGGCTGGGATAGAGGACAAGACCTGAGCACACCAGCAACACAAAAGACCCAAATGCCAAGGGACAGAGGAGCCCAGAAGCTCTGGGTGCCCTGGTGAGTCTGCAAGCTGGAGCCACTAACGGGCCAGTGCCCCAGATTCACATGGACCGAGGCAGCGCGACCCTCTCTGCTTCAGCTCCCCAAAATGTTGCAGAAACCCAGCGTCTCGCCACTGCACCAGGCAAGCTTTGGACTCAGCTCTACTCCTTCCTGGCTATTGCATTCCCCTCCAATTAAGCAACAGCGTCCCCAGCACCGGGTTGCATTAAATAATTAAATCGTGCTGGTGATTTATCCGCCGGCACCAGCAGCTCATTACGAGCAGCTACCGTATTTCAAACCCCTCTCAGCGAGCACTCAGTGCTGCTTGGATAAATGGCTGGCAAGGACCAGCTCCTTCCCCCTCCCCAGCTCTGCCCGCAGGCCTTGGGGAGCTCCAGAGTCAAACCTCCCCTTCCCCACTCGCTTGCTTTAAAGGGATTAAAAAGCCCAGCCCCACTGAACACGGGAGAGCAGGACCCAGCTGCTGGCTCAGCCATGCCAATAAATAATTAAAGAGATGCGGCTCGTTTTGGGCTCAAGGCCCTTTGAAAAAGGGGTTACTAAAAGAAGCAGCTTCCCATTGTCCAGCAGAGGAAACTTGTGCATCCAGGGCTGACCCCAGCAGGGGAGAAGGAGGGGAAAAGCAGAGCTTACGGGAACACAACCATCAGCACCACTGCAGCCTTGTTTTGCCTGGCTGGGTTTTTAAGCTCTATTTTTGCTTTACCTTTCCAGTGATCAAAGCAAGGGCAGCCTCCCCCCTGCTCTCCTTGCTTTTCTGGTTGTGCTGATTTTGCATCCCCTTGACCCTGAGTCTGCCACGGGTCCCAAAGGCAAACCACAGAGCCTCCTACAGAGCAGAGACCTGTCAGCATCTCTCAAGAGCAGGGGCCAAGCAGACGGAGGTGCTGAGAAGGCATCACAGCAGCCAGAGCTGCCCGTGGGGACCAAGCCTGCCCCTGTGGGCTCCTCAAGCCCTGTGGGAGGAGGGGAGCTGCTAAACCCAGGGCATTTGCTGCTTCTCCCACTTATCTCCTGGAACTAGACCAAGCTACGAGGCTGGCCAACTGCCCCCAATGCAGCGAACTGCTGGAAGAGATGGTCTGCTCCTCACATGGCCAAAATTAACCTCCTCCTTGCTGCACTGCTCCTCTGATCAAAGTCACAGCTTTGAAACACTGCTCCAGGCTGCAGCCCCAGCAGTCGCTGCACAGATCCCCACGTGAAAAGCGCTCCCTCCAGGAGGAGGAGGCAGGTCACAGCCTATCAGTCATACAACCTTGTGCCAGACAGAGTGTCTACGCCAGAGTCCTAAACAACAGCTCAGCTATCACTACTTGTCAGATGCCTCCAGCAAAACCCCAGACAGCTCCATGCAATTTTTCTGTAAGAGCAGAGCAAGCTCAGCAAGTCTCAGAAGGGGCTCAGCCCCCAAAGGATCCAGCTTTTGCTCCAGCAGACAGTTTGGTATTGACACACGCTACTCTGGAAACCATTAAGCTGTCTCTTTCAAAGCACAGCAGACCATACTTTCTTCTTTTTTCTTTCTTTTTTTTTTTTTTTTTTTTTTTTTTTTTCTCCATGGCAAAGCAATACCAGTAAGTCATGGAGAGGATACACATTCAGCAGAAAGGATTCCAGGAGGTCATTTGCCAAAGGCAGGCGTCCCCAGCATTTGATCAGGGAGGAAGATGGGACAGCACAAAAGCACATCAGCAGCAGGTACAGGAAAAGGAGAAGAAAGCAGAGCAGAGATGCAAGCAGAGGCCACAAGGGGCTGAGCCTTTAAAAGCACAGATAAGCAGTTTGATCTACAAACGAACCCGCGTGAACAGGCAACCTCATCAACAAGGCAACCCTGGGGATGCTCCACCTGTGCCTCAAGTCACAGGCTCCTGCTCTCCTGAGTGCCAGGGGAATGAGACACGGTCCCTGCCACTTCCCAAGCAGGATCATCTCTCTTGTTTGTCACATGGACTGCAGATGGAAAACCATCAGCTGCACGGATACAGCCCTGATACAGCTTTTCCTAGAGAGCTGACAGCTCAAAGGGGGTGGCGGAAGAGGATTTTTTTTTTTTCCCCTCTTTGTTTTGCTCATTTTTAATGCTTTGTTTCCCTAGAACTGCTCTGTGAATGGTTGGGAATGAGCAAGATCACGACAAAGGCAAAACTCAAAGGTGAAATGCAAACAGCGGAAAGCAAGAGCAGCATTTGACAGCAGTTTCTACTGAATTGAAGGAACAAAAGGTGGACACAAAGCCTGTTAGGGAGGGACTCATTATCCCTGATCCCCCCCATGAACTACAAGCAAGTTTGTCATTCACACACTGGCTCCTAGAAGGGAAGGCTGAACTTTACATGCCTGCTTCAAACATAAATGACTAGGTTAAAGATCATCGTAGGCTGCCTTCCCACAGCAGAATGAAGCTATAAACACACACACAGGGCCCAGTCTGCTTCCTATTCTGCCAAGATCTTTCCAGACTATTCCCAGCTTTCTTGCATAGCCATGATAAGTTGGAATAAGTTGGAACAGTAAAAATGTGCCCAAGAACCTCCTTGTTACAATGCAGAACAAGGGAAGGGGATCCAGTGCGCAGCACAGAAGTGAAGCTGGTGAACAGGCACCAAAACTGGCCACAGCAGCAAACAGAGATGGGTGAGAGTCACATTAATGCAAGGGGAAAAATAGGTCCTTCCTCCTTAACACCTGGGAATGGGCAATCCTGCCCCACAGGCTAAAAATACTTCCCCAGCCCAGCCCTCCTGCGTGCTTCACAGCCCTCTCTAGCCCTCAGCACAGCCCTTGGTGAGGCAGGTCACCTCAATGACATGCCTTGAGCTCACACGCTGTCATACCAGACCTTGCAGAGCTCAGCTGTACCATGGGCAGAGAAGATCAGTGCTGTTAACACAGCCTGAGCACCAAGGAAGCCCAGGGACAGGGAGACAAGTGACTTGCCCAAGCTCCCACAAAAAGGCCAGTGGGAGAACAGGAACAGTACACACATCTCAGCCTTTTGCCTGCAACCAGGAGGGAATACCACATCTTCAAAACACCACTGGTTGAAGCCAGACTGTGAAAACAGGGTCAAAACATATCCTTTCTGCATCCTCCTTCTCACTACCAGTTCCTGCCCACATGTAATTTGCTTGACTTCCCATCCAGCCAGCACACACACAGCCTCTGCATCCTGGGGGGAGGACTGCAGGCTGACATTTGCACCCCCAAGCATAACCCAACCACGTTTATTCTCCCTGGCACCCAGGTAAGCTGCCAACTCGTTCCTCACCTAGGAAGTATCCACCATAGAGCCAAAAAAATATGAAGGCAGAAAAGGAGAAACAAAGGGTTCCAAACTCTTCTCCTACCTCTGAAATTTTGTATTCGCAGGTCAGCTTCTTGCCTCTGACACCTTCATTCAGAGTGAGGATGAAGCCCATGTAATCTGCGTATGCCTGCAAACACACCCGAGAGAGCAGGGTGTCAGTGAATACCCACGGACCGTTTGGAAAAGCAACATGGCACGGGAGCGCTCCTGCACTCCCAGGGAACCTTTCCCAACCCTGCTTTCTTGGAGACACCCAGGGAACAGGGCTTGCTGAGTGGCTACTGCTATTTTTGGCAGACCTCAGAGGCAGATGGCGATTGCACTAAGAACTCTGCATCGCTGTAAAAATTACCGAGAGAAGAATACTAAAAAAGCTCACACTGCCCCCAAAATCCTTCCCTCAAAGTCCCTGCCTCATATCAGGTCATATTTAAACTCCTTGGCTGTGCAGAGTCTCAGCTGTGCCCAGACATCCTGCTCTGCACTGCTTCTCCCAGACCTGCGTCATTATCACCCACTTCCCCCTTCTATTTTTCTCCCATCCTCATGCAGGATGGAGAAATGGGAGAGAGCCCAGGCTCCTCACCACTCTTCTCTTTAAATTTGCTGGTTTTGAAGCATCATATCCAGTGCAGCTCCACAGCTCTAAGTCTTTGAAACCACCAGACCAGCACACTGCCACCACTGCCTCCTTGGGCGCCTCTTGCACAGAAATCCTGAGCAGAAGCAAGTCCTGGAGACTTAACAAAGGCAGCTGCACCCAGAAGTTTGCTTGAGACCTGACTATAACTTAAGCTTCTCTTAAGACATCACAGATCAGTCATCAAGCAAGAACTTGCTCCTAAAAGGTGGGACGAGTCTGGGCTGACACACCAATCCCTCAAAGGCAGAGAGGAGAGAACCTGCCTGTTCCACCAGCTCCACACATACTGTAAACAAAAATTACCCAGGAAATTGAAGGCCTTGGCTCTGGAGCCCTTTCCAGTACAGCAAGGTGGGAAGGCCCCAAGGAACCAACCCAGCCTGATGCTATTAGAGGGCCAGGCAGCAGGACCATGTTCACACTAAGTTCAAACAGCACTGGGTAAATCCAGTTTTGATATAATGTACAGGCTAAGTAGGATGAAATAGTTACCAGCTTCTTGTCTAGCTTGTTGGGAAGGAGCAGTAATAATTTTTTAGCATCTCTGGGCTCTCCCTGGCTCACTCGTTTGTCAGAGCATTTGGCTGCCAGACTCCACACCTCACTGCCAAGTCGTTTTCCTACAAACAGGCAGTGACTCTTCTGCTTTAAAACACAAATCAATTAATTTCCCATTACTTGCCCAAACCTGTTTACCTCGTGGCTGTTCCCAGACCAGACCTGGCTGCCACTGAAGCATAATAAGCACTTACCAGTTTTCCCTGACCCCAGAGCCATACCTGAGAGCGCTTCCACTTGGCCATGTCGGACACCATGTTTATCTCCTTTTTGGGGATCATGAAGTTCTGCTGGAGGGGAGGAACCACCTCCTCAGAGGTGCCTGGGAGATGAAAAAAAGAGGTAAAATAGAGGCAGTGGAGAAGAAGAAATCCTCTGTCTTCCTTTCTTAGAAATCAGCATTCATTTCTCAGGAGACAGAAAGCAAACAAATCCATCCCAGCTTGTGCCATTATCTCACCAAACAATATCCTCTCAATCCCCAGATAACACACTCCTAAGGGCACTGCAAGGCTTCAGCAAGTGGCATTATGTTTGTTTTCACCACTAAAGATGCATTTCCCATCCAGACAGAGAGGCTGGTGCAGGAGCTAATAAAGGCAATGTCCAGCTAGTTTAATTATTTCTCTCGAGTGAAGACAGGCCTCAGGTCACACTGAAGCACTGAGGTCTCCTAACAAACTACCTGAGCCTTGTTTTTAGGGTGTTAAGCCTGAACTGCATTCCTCCAAAAAGGACAACTCCTGCAAAGACAACTCAATAGATGGCAGTCCAGAGCTGCAGCCCTCTGTCCAGGCTTGGAGGATGGCGGGACACAGTCTCTTCCAGGTGGAAGCTATGAAGATCATTTAATTCTAAAGCACTCTCAGAGGCCAGGATGTAATGTTTAACACAAACACAAATTGTTAATCATCAGATCAAGCTCTTCCTTCGGGCATCTGAAGCAAGGACCCAGCCCTGCAGTAAGGGTCACTCCTTCCCCACTCTCCAGAGCTCTGCAGAGCCAGGAACACTCCACAAGGTTAGAGGTAATTCATATTATGCTCCTATAAGTGTGACTTATAATAGCAAGAGGCAGTGCAGCAGACCACTGTTACAGAAACTGGGTGCTAACGTGAATTTATGAATTTTGTTAGAGTCACCCAGTCCTCTTTTTAATCCTAGAAAATCTGAAGGCATTTGTTCAGCACCAGCCACTCTGACAACACTTCAGCAACTACTCTCCACGCTACAACCAGCTCAGGCACTGGCTCCCTGACATACACACCAAACTCCAACTACTTAAAATATTATTAGCTGCATTTACATAGAAAATACTACCCAGAAGCATCAGCAGCCTTTTCTGCAACAGAGCAGTGCTGTCTGGTAGGCGGATGAGGGAAAAAGGAATCCAAAGTCCCAGGAACCACGCAGAGTCTGCTATAGAGTTGTCAAGCTCAGAAAGTCATTTAACTTCTCTGCCTTTCAAGTTCCCTATCTACAGAACAAACGCGGTCTCGTCACCCGCCTCGGGTGTTACAGTGTTTGGTTCATTCCCCTGCATAAAGTTACAGTAAAACTCCCGGGTACAAGGATGAGAGGAACAGCACACAAGGAATTTAAATGAAAGGCACGCATGCCTCTCTCCTGGAAATTCAGCACACAAGTCTCAACAACTAGCACCACGATGACAGACCCCAGAGCAGGGGTGCAAGAAGGCAAACACCAATTTGTCCATTAATACCCACAACACATAAAGGCCAGGGATGTGGCCAGGGCAGTGTCCTGACAGAGGGGTCCAGATGTTTGCCCAACCTCTGTCTTGTCACACAACTTGTTTCATCTCTTTGCATTTGTTTCTCTGCCACCACCACTTCTGATGTGCACTTTGTGCATTTCCTTGTGGGGAGGAGATCACAGATAAGCAAAGAAGGAAACAGAGCAAGGTCTGCAGGGGTTGTAATATTATTAAATGTATATATTAAGCAAAAGTCCAAAACTAATGATGCGATGGAGACAGGAGCAGAACGGGTCTGTTTTATGATGAGAAGTGACTTTGACAAAGGAGACACTCTCGTGGGGTGGGGAGGGGGAATCAAACTCAGCCAAGAGATGGACTCTCCACACCAGCAAACACCACCCATTTCAGCAAAGGGAAACGGAGTCACAGAAAATGGGCACAGGCAATAGAGCCCCCTGACTCCGGCTGCTCCAGCCACAGCCCAAACCCTGCTCCCTTTGCCCCCGGGGCGCACAGGAGGGACCCGCAGACCCTATCAGCCCTCAGGGGAAAGAGGTTCCCCCTGCCCCATCCTGTCCCCCATCCCCTGCTGGGGGTACAGCCCCCGCGGGACCCCCCATCTCCGCCGCCCGGGGGTGCCCAGGCCCCAGCCCCACCGGCAGCTCCCGGCCCCGCAGGCCTCAGCCGGGAGCAGGGCCGGGTGGCCGATAGTGCCGGGGCCTCCCTGCCCCACCCGGCCGAGGGTCGGGGGCCTCCAGGGCCCCTTCGTAACCTCAGCAAAACCTCTTCCCTCCTCACCCTCAACACAGGCCCGGGCGGTCGCTGCCGGCGCCCTCCCGCCGGCGCCGGCCCCAGGACCCCCGTGCAGCGTGAGGCTCCCCAGAACACCCCGACCCTAAAGACGCCCCTCACGGGCCCCGAGCGCAGCCCCCAGCCTAGAAGGCCCCCGGAGCCGCCCCGGCCGCCCCTCACCTGCCGGCCGCTCGCTCTCTGCCATCTTCCCGGAGCCCGGCCACCGCCGCCACCACCCCTCACCTCTCACCTCCGGACACGCCGAAGCCGCCGGCGGCCATCTTTGAGCAGGGCACGCCGCCCGCCCCTGTCGCTCCCGGGGCTGTCAGCCGGTGGCGTGGCCCCTCCCGGCCACCGTCGCCGCCATGTTTGTGTGGGGCACGGCCTCCCTTGGCCACACGGGGCGGCCATGTTTGTGTGGGGCGCTGCGGCGCCGTGAGGAGTGGGTGTGCGCGGGGAGGGGAGAGAAGACACCCTTCGGAGGGCAGGAGGAGCCTCCTCACCAACTCCCGGAGCAGGCAGCTGACAGAGAAGCCGCATCCCTGCTCTGACACCGGCCGCAACGCTCCCCCCCCCACAGCGAGACCCTGCCCTTCCTCAAGATGGCGGCGCGGGCTTCGCCCCGCTCCAAGATGGCGTCCGGGCGGCCCCGCCCCCTGGCGGCTGAGGGGGGCGGCGGGGCGGCGG